ATGAAATTCACCAAAAATTTATTCAAATTGACATAAATTAAAACTTTAGTTCAGACTTGGTTGATATTAAATTTAACTTTTTGCTCAAATCAAGGTTCTATCCTTTATTTTATAGCTAAGGTTTGACCTTTTTGTCATTTTCATGTCAATGCTTGCCCCCACAAATGTTGCTAGCCCATCGATGTCTTCCTTAAGAGCTACACCCAAAAGCCTCTTCTCTTTTACACACAGTTGATCTCATCATTTCTTTGCCTAATGAGCTCAATCAAACCCTCTCATTCAAACCATCAGCTCTTTTGATGTTTTCTTCCATTGAGCTCTATTCAAAACCTTTATCTGTTTCACATTTCATCGATCCCATCATGGCCTTCCCGACAAGCTCAATCTCTAAACCTCGTCATTCGCACACCTCTCATCACATCAACGTCTTGCCAAATTAGTTGCATTGCAAACCATACTTAGAAGCTCCCTTTCTCCCATGTCATCAACCCCATCACAAAACCATCTTACATCCACTCCCTCACACAATGACATAAATTTAATTTCAAGCAATTCAAACAAAAGCTTGAATTAAAGTTCACTGTTAGATTAAAATTTGAATCAACTTTACAATTAGATTCAAATAAAAAATTGAATCAATTTGAATTAATTGTAAGCAATCTACAAATGCAAGGGATTATTCTTCATTGAGAGTAATTTTATCAAAAAGAAATTTTTGCACATATTTTAAAAAATAGTAAAATATTTAAAAAATGATGTGACATGAAATCAAAGTTATCATTTAATATAAATTAACCCCGGTTGTCTCATGATTGAGGGTGGTCTTGATTCGTGGGTCACTTAAAACCATAATAGTATTTAGTTCTTCTATAACCACCCCTTCAATTTAGCCCCACAAAAATGCAATTAAATAAAAAAAAAGATGCATCTAGCAACATTAAAGAAACGTTTCACCAACGCACCAACAATGGAGCACTAGTTAGGTGGAAGTTATCATCCAAAAGTAAAGACCAAGGCCATTAATGATAACAATCTAACAAAAAGAATATTTAAAGAAAATAATGATTTTCTTTCCAATAAATTTGGGACAACTTAGGGCATTTGGAGCAACTTATTTGGTGCGGTGCGTTTTGAAAACACGCCAAAACTCGTTCAAATACACTATATTTTGGCAACTTTTTCGAAAAACTATATTTTTTAACAACTGAAATTAATATTTTCACACTATTTCTGACTAAATGTGGTGCAGCTAGAAAAGCTGAAACCCAAAACCCTAGAAAAACTGCGGTCTTGTTTTTTCAAAAAAAAAAAAAAAATGTGAACCACCACAATTTTTTAAACAACTAATTATTTTTTAACAACTTATTAATAAGCTGTATCTGCCCCCAAACAGAACGTTAATATACTTCACTTTATTTCTAGCAAATATTGGTACACTTCCAAGCACAAATAAAAAAAAAACACCATTGTTATATATATATATATATATATATATATGATTTTAAGTTAAAACATAAGCACAAAAAAAAAAAAAACACCATTGTTATATATATATATATATATATATATATGATTTTAAGTTAAAACATAACTACTAGGCAAAGATGAACCGCATGAATAGTTTGATCAAGCAGTATTTTTCTTTCCTTTTCAATTGGAGTCGGTGTGAACAAATCAGTGCCAAAGGTCATTGCTGTGCGCGTGCGCGTGAATTTATATAGCATGTAGATTTATCTCTATATGAATTAGAATTGGATAAAATTTATGATCAGTTCCGATTCCAAACAACTGAAAATAAATAAAACTTGTGTCGATTGAAGATAGGAACCCAAAAATATAACCTCCGGGGCCCAAAATTATAGTTCTTTTGGTTTTAAGTTCTCTTATATAATTTATTAGTTAGCCGGGTCGACTCGAGCTTAACACAAACAATTTGAGATGTCTAAAGGCAATAGAGAATATCACATCCATGGTAATGTACATCTTTTTGTCAAGCATGAAGGTGATGATCAAACATGAACAATGTTAAGTTACATCTTGAATATCAAAACCTAAATAAAAATCTAAAAAGGGTGCGGCGTGCGGCAGATGCAGATGTTCTACAAATTAATAATTAATTTTTCCCACAATAATATTAAAAAGGTAGAAGAGAAAAACATGTCTCTCATAGAAACATAAGAGGCCTGCTAATAGACGATGGTCTTTGATTAGGAGGACAAAAATAGCATAGAAGTTCTCTCCATAAACTAGGCAAACAATACTGCTACGACAGAGGAAAAGGAATTTACAAAAATATTACAAGACAATTATGATCAAATAAAATTATGAAAAAGAAAGATCGAACAAACACAAAATATCAAAATATAGAAATGATACACTAAAAAAACATCCATCATAGAAAATATAAAGTAAGAGGTGTACAAAACAAATAAAATAAAGTGACAACTTTAGAATGAAAGAAAAGTATCTGGTGTTGTATCCTGGACTGCTCATGGATTCACACTAACTTAGACTAGAGCAAATAAAAAGAAAAATGAGGGAACATACAAAGAAGAAAGCTTGAGAGGAAAAAACTCTAAGGGACTGATTAATACTAAAATGATTACAGAGAAGCAATTACAGATGAGACTTCACGAATTTTTCCACCTTCATATTCCAAGGATGTCTTCCCTATTCATATGTTTGGGTTCAACTTTAGGGTATGCAACATAATTGACTATAAAAAATATAACAAAATACACACATTTAATTAACTAGACGGGTATAGCCTGATAACTTGTCCATTTGAAGATCTATATGACACCTACTGAGTTCATGAATTAGCATTGTCTGCCAAATTGAATTAAAGTTTTCAAGTCCTAGAAGAAGTCGACTTACTATTTGGCCTTTGTAGAACTCAATGAACGATTAATGACTCTGAAAAGTTCAGATAAAGCTGGAGCATTGCCTTAATTTTAGTTTAAATCTTAGTATGTGGTTGATTGGAAAAATTATGTTATATATTTTTAGACCTCTGATTCTCTTAATTATTTGTTAACTTCAAAAAGAATAAAAGGATGAAATATTCATCAAGTATTAATAAATCACGTTAATAATGTGTTGTCCCACTCTCGATGTTGATGTGATGTCTTACTTGTTTTTTGTGCCTATGTCATCTTTACAAATAAGGACGGATGCCTTCATTTCTTCATCAGATCACACCATCCACCAATCCTCTATTTTAGTGTTGGCCATGATCGTTCTACAGAAAATGGTTGTTTGCTGAGAAGATAAATATCTCTCAAGCAGGCCTCGTTGATACTTCGTTTGGTAAGCAAAAGAACGATGGTAGTTCAAAGAAAAATAAGCAAAAGAACGCTAGGATTGAAGAAAAAAACTGAAGTTGACAGTAGCTTCTTTTCATCCTATTAGAGAACCCGCACCTTTTGAAAATGTGTTATACGAATTCAAAGGGATAAGTGACTTGTTTATTCCTGCACATATTGAGTTGGGATCAGAATGTAAAGTTGGTACTATATTTTTTAAAATACGTGCGTATTATTAATTTAGTGAAGATATTCATGACAACGAATTGATTTTATAGTTCATTTCACTTTTAGTGGGTGAAAGTCTTCCCTTGATCAATTCGCCCAAGTGAATGTTGTTGTTGAAGCCAATGTGCTTGAGAAACATTCATGCGACTTCTCCACAGGACAATCAGCCGAATTCTGTAAAGGAAACTGATGCTGAAATTCCTCGGCAAGGATTGAGAACTAAAGGTTTGAACACGGCTTTTACTTCAGTGCACCTAATATGTGTATGCCCTTAAATTCTGAAGATATTTTTTAACTAAATATTTGGTGATTTGATACCGAGGAAGTAGAAATCAGCAATGGCATAGAACAATACAATAAAAGAAATTTCAATGGGCAGGACAACTCAGGTCTATGCCTTACCGGGCTTTACCAATCCAGTTCTTTCAAGGCCAATTAATGGCTAATCACTAATGAAAGGGAATAAATATTACTCCCAAGAAATAAGTGGGTAACCTGGAAAAACTTACATAAGATGACTTTTGATAGACATTGCTACAACTAAGATGGTTTTACCCGAGAATTTTTGCGGGAAAATTTAATATTTTTATTATTTTATATAATATACGCTAAATATTTAAATCTGATGCACCCTTGCATCATTTAATTTTATTCAACTATACAACACATATTGCAATTAAATATCCAATACTTACCCATCCACTCTCCTAATTTTAAACCCTCCATATTTTAAATATTTTTTGGTCATTATATATAACCAATTAGAATTATGTCAACTATAAGAAAAGCTTACACCAAAACACCTTTCTAAAGCTATTTTTTGTAAACATTGTCAAAAATAGTAAAAAAAGAAATTAACGCAACTCCTTGCTACAGTTCTATAATTGACAACTTTTTTAGCAATGTAATAATTATCTACTCATCATACATGGCAAAACCCTTCGAATAACATGTACATTCCTATAACATTTCATTTTTTTTATCTGAATTAAATGAAACTAAAAAGAGAATGGCATATATTTCAACGTAGGTTCACTTCAAAAACCTCAACATATATATATATATATATATATATATATATAATGCCAAATAAATAAATTCATTTGTAAAGAAAATTGTGTTTGCTGAGTGGCAGTTAGCGCTACAGAAGCATTGTTATTTCGAAAAGAAACAGTTTATAAGGCATAAAAGATATGAGTTTGTTTGGCAAGTTATTTGAACCTCTGACATTCGCTTTGGAGATTAAAGGTAATAAACTAAACTCATGAGCCAATTTTATAAAATAAACTAATGCAATTAAAAATACCAAAAAAAATAAATAAATATCAAAGATCAAAATTCATGCTGATGTCAATCTTTTATCAACTATAAAAAAACAAATCAATCAAGTAATCTCTTAGACTAAACAAGCTGATCAATACATGACATTTCTGTTTAGTACAAGTCTAATTAAAAAGAGCATGTAAGGTATAAAGAGAGAATCCTTTTAGATTAACTTACACGCTTATGAAACAATGCTCACATCCAAATATATAACATACCTTTCCATGAATTGGTAGAAAGATAGAGAGCATTACTAAATGATACATTGTTGTTAAATCTGTAGCAAAGAGAACTTTGTTAAGTGAAAGTATTGTCCTCATCCATAGCTTAATCTGGAATCTAATGGCCTCATTTGCGTGTGGCGACGAGGTACCCCAATCTCGCAGGAATTAACACGTGCAGCAAACCGGAGCGAGCAGATAGATTCACCGGCTGATGAAGCCTCGGGGGAAATGTTGACAAACATCAGCGTTTTTGAATCACCCCCAAGGCAAGGCTTGAATCACAAATATAGTTATAGTAAGGACAAAGAAAATACAAATGTTAATTAAAACTAATAAATTACATTGCTTTTTTCGGAACTATTTTCCAAAGAAAAAGTATTAATCACAAAGACATTGATATTTGCACATAGACATACTATATCAAACTTGACTAAATTGGGCTACTAGAAATTAAAATATTCATACTTACTTGAAGAAGGTACGTCAATTTTGAGTTTCTATAAGGCACGTGATCATCTTTCTTGGCAATTGCAAATATTACATCACTCAAAGATGATAAGCTTTTATTGATCGCCTAAAACAAAAAAGGGAAGAAATTATCACAAATCCACCCAAAAAAAATTAGCATACTAAACAAGCAAAGTCTCACTTGAGTTTCCTTTAGGCGGTCACCAGTTGAGCCACTTTTGGCAAGACGTTCACTTCCAGCAAGATCTATTAGGTTCAAAACACCTTGGACCTGTTGTTCTGTGGACTGGGGAAATAAAACCGGTCAATTAACTGTATACCAGTTTAGCAAGACAGACGAAAAATAGTCACCACTCACATCATTGAATCCAGATATTCTTAGGGTGAAAACAAAATGACTCCTTGATGATTGTTCATTCATTTGTGTCTTGCCAACAGACCTGGCAATAAAAACATAGAAAAAAATGTCTAATCTTAAAAATTCATTTTTACATAGAAAAACAGGAACGACACCAAGAAAGAAAAAACACATTTAGCATAAAATAAAATAAAAAACAAGTTTAAATAGATAAGTCAAATCCTAACATCTAAAAGCAGTGTCCGCTGGAGCTGAAAAATCATGAATGAACTAAGTGCTTACTGGCACTGAAAACAACATAGAAACCCACTTGAAAGTTTGCAAAACTCAATGAACAATAATACATCAAGAGATTCTAATTTTTTTCAGTATCATAGATTAATGGGTATAACGGTTAGAAGATCAAAAACAACTTCAACCGTATTCTTAAAAATAAAAACTGCACACAATTTTCACTTTGTCTGTTACTTTAAAAAAAAAAAAAAACTACAAGAAAGAACTGAGTTGTTGACTATATTTCTACAATAAATGTTACCTGCTCTGTGCTGCTTGATTAAGAAGGAAAGAGACTTCATTTATGCTGCATACATCTACCACGGTAAGGTCAGACACAAATGTGTTACCAGCTGAATCATGTTTTATTGTATACAGCTTATTAGCATGAGTCGTATCAATGTTGTTACATCGACTTGGAGATAATAAATCACGGATTGTTTCATTGTATATCTCCAACATTGATGCCTACAAAAATAAAAAGAAGAAAAGAATGATCAATTTTTTACAATAAAGTTGAAGTAGTCACAGATTAACTAAACTGAATTGCAAGATCAAACCTGCATTTTGTATTTCCACCCCTGGTATTTCAAGGATTGACTAGTCTCAAAGATTTGTTCCAAGGATCGTGGTATTAATCCTTTTTGCTCTTCAGATTCAGGTCTCCCCATCATAGTATAAGTTTTGCCTGAACCAGTTTGTCCATAGGCAAAAATGCAAACCTAGAAATGTAAAAACATGGTTGACTTTGCAAATTATTTGAACTTTCAGTCGATATTTAGATTAGAACTTTAAAAAAACATAACAGAGTGCATAAGATCTAGCAATAAACAAGCAACAAAGTTTATATAAGAGATCTTTTAAACGAAAGGGCGCAGGAAATTGTAACTAAAGGATTCGAAAAATCAACTTTTAAACTCAGAGCTTCATGCAAATGATATGAAAATCTAGCCTATTTATAAAACTATCATTCATCCAAAAAATAAAAATATATAAAATTAAAAAAAAAACTAGCAAACCCATCTATTTGTAGGTGAACTGATAGGTGTTAGCGAAAAGAATGGCATATTCACCAAGTAATAGTACCTATATATATTGGCATACAAGATGGTTACGGTGAAAAGAAAAATAAAGAGATAAATGTAATTGGGAGATAATAAATCCCAAGCTATATACTTATCTTCTCTAATAATGTTCTAAAAACATTTTCCAATCTAGTAACACATCTCTTAAAGCTTGAGCATAGATATCTATTAGCTTCACCTTGTCACATAAATAAAAATTTGAAAAGGACCTAGACATTTGGTGAAAAAATATCTAACTTTGTTTTGAACTGAAAAAAATTAAAGAGTAAAAATCTTTTGGAAAGCAAAATATTTTGCATAAAATGAAAATCGTCCTCAATATGTTTGATACTCTCATAAAACAATAAATTAGTGGTTAAGTATATGGCCGCAATATTGTTGTGAAACATAACTGCAAACACAATGAGTTAAAGAAGTAAAAACACTTGAACCACATAATTTCACAAGTAGAAAGAGTAATGGTTCCATAGAATGTTTAAACACTAGATAGAATGATCGATGGGTTAATGCCTTATTTTCTTTTAGATAGAATAATCCTTCTCTTGTTATAATAAAATTAAATCCAAAGAAAAACTATTTGTGATATCTTAAATCTTTGGTTACAAATTAATTCTATAAGCAATGTTCTGTTGTAGATATATTGTTTTTATTACTCCCAATAGATAATATATTATTTATATAAACGGCTAAAATGAAGAGCCTTTTTTTTATAATTTCAGAGAGAATATATGTATTAATGGTGCTACTTCAAAGGCTCTCCACAAAATCTACCAAATTAATCCTATAGACTGAAGTCCATAAATGGTCTTCTTAAAGAGGAAAATGTGTTTTTCCTCTGAGCAACATAGCCAAGAGATTGCCTCCCATACATGATTTCAATCATATCACTATAAAAAAGAGTGTTATTATCATCCATTTGCAACATGGATAGCCAAAAAGATTAAAATTTTAAAGTTTGGCAACCAAAAAGAAAAAGAGAATTAAAATAATTTATCCCATAAAACTATGCTAAAATTTTTGGCAATTCGCAGTGCTTTACGCTGATCAATAGAACTATCAAAATGAAATTTGAGCAAAACCTAACTCAACAGTAAGCAATATATATTTGACTTTAGAGCGAGAGGCAATCAATTTGTATGTCATTTATATATGACACCTATCTCAACATCTATAGTACATTTTTATAGATGTTGTTGTAATGCTATTAATTTCACGGGTATAGAGGCAATAGACAGGCATAAAAAGGAGTATAGGATGAGATAAATAGTCAAAAATCCGGAAAGAGTGAATAAAATGATTAGTAATTTATCATTTACCTCTTCATAATACAATATAAAGGTGTAGATTTAAGGCTACAAGCTCAAAGTAATCCCCAATCAAAGCAAACAAGAAAACTACCGATGTTGCACGTGGAGGTAGTCAAGGTCTTATGGAGTAGACCAATAAAAGAGTGACAAGGGGTGAGTAGCAATAGAAACATGAACAAATGATGTTATTTCAAAATTTGTGATCAAAAGGAAGGGAAATTATCATGAAGTGTACAAATATCTGGTGATCAAACTAAAACATCTCCATCAATTTTGAATTTGGGAATGCCCAAGGAATATAATAGTGGACTGGAGAAATATCAAGTGGTCAAAATATATGTACAAAGAAAATATAGCCAAAACTCATATAGTAAGAGCAAACAGAGATAGATGTCATAGAAGAATGTTGATTGATAATTGATTATAAATCAGATTAGAAATGACATATTTAATAAGAAAACAAGTAGTTAAGAATCAATAGTAATACATGAAAATATTTGCGTTTAAAAATTACATTTTGCTGAGAGGTACATGGACATATGATTTGATAAAAAGTATCATTTTCAAAGAAAAAAATTTTAGAAGTAGAAACTAAACTTTAATTTCTTCATAAAATTCTATGGAAGGAAGTACACCATCTTTCTTGGTGGTACCTTGAAACATGATAGAGACAATGTGCAATTCAAGATTGTTAACAATCCAGATAAGAATGAAAAAGTCAAAATATTGCCTAAGAACTTGAAGCTAACATTGTTATTTGAATGAGAACATCTAAATGATAACATTTATCTTGTGATCAGATAAAAAAATGAAATACCCTCAACCGCAAGATATTTGATACCATTAAATTTAATAAAAAACCAGTGATATAAAGCACTGCTTCAACAAAAAGAGAGAAAAGCCAATTCACACCAATGAGAGATGTACAAGTTGAACCCATATCATGCTCGAAAAATAAAAGTATGAAGAATAGCAATGAAACACATCTAGGAACAAGATAAGTTGAAGTTGCAAGAGTTTGATCGACACAAATACAAATAAAAAAAATTGGGTTCTAAGCTAAATCTACAAAAAATTAATTAATTATACTACAAGAGGGATAAGAGCAAGCTTAAATTGGCAGAGAGGAGGTGCAAGTGCGTGATGCGGATGTGATGAGAGTTCATGTGCAAGTAGGCATGAAGTGAGTGTAATGAACATACGAGTGGCAAGCAACATGAAAGAGTGACAATAGGCAACTTTTAGTCATGCACTTATACCATGTTAAGTGAACAGACTAGAAATTTAACATCTTATTCATTAAGCATTGATACCTACATATAGCTGGACAAGAAGAACATAAGAAGAAAAAACAGAACGAGAAAACACATATAACTAAATGAGAATAAATCCCAAAAATATATATTATCCTTATACAACAATTTATTAACATTATTTCCTAGTATGCTACTAATTTGAAACTTAGAGCTTTCATCTGAACAACAAACTTCAACGAGCGTACAAAAAATAAACAGAACATCACTTGAGGGAAAAAAAATCCAACCTAATATGAAAATATTCATTTAGCTCAAGTTCACAATGCATCGAGAAGAAGTGATCGTTAATATACTTAGAGTTGGAAGTCAAATGCCTTTTTTTGTAGACAAGGTAGCCTAGAAATAAACAACTAAACCTAAATCGGTGTATTTAGGCCATATTTCTAGTAGAAAAACCATATAAAATCAACATAAAGTGGTAAGCTTTCAGCAAAAAATTGGTCAGTTGTGAAAACAATATGAGAATTAGTAGTTGATCTAAATTTCATTCAACAAAATTAACCTCCCAAATCTAAAATATTGCAAATCCATCCACTAGAGCATTTTTACACTTTGAAATGATCTATCGCAATTTGTTTAGAACTCTAGCTAAATCTTGTCCCTATTGCATATTTTAAAAGAGGCATAATTGTATGTCAAATAATTCTAGTTTACCCCAAAATATAATGGCAATCCATTACAAGGATACCACTCATACAAATGCAGATATGGGTGATATGTACATCAAGCAATGCCTTCAATTAAAGCCCAAACCTCTAAATTTTGTATCCAATTCTCCTCAACATGCAATTCTCTATTTACTGTAGTAACTTTAAGGAAAAAATCAAAATCATTGGATTTAATCCAACAAAGTAGTTTCATATGCATATGACTCAAATTTGCTTTAGCATACGACACCCTTACAACGAATCCACCAAAAAGTAAGTGAAATAAAAAAGATCAATGCAGCTGAAAAGAGCATAAAGAAGCTGAATTTACCTTATATCCATCAAGTGCACTTTGCACAAGCTGTGAGATTTCATAAAATACATCCGCTTGAGATGACTCATGACTAAATACTTGGTCAAAAGCAAATGAATAGCTTTGACCTGATCAAAACAAAAGAAGAATAATAAAAAACCACTGAATATTCAAATTTTACAGTTAATTTGTTGTCCAAGAGAATACTATAGAAAAAATACTACTTACAAAAAATTAAAAAAAAATAACTTTTACCATTATGCGTCAAATCAATCCCACGTCCAAGATACTCAACACCAGGTGGATACGACACAACTGTCCCATCATCTCCACTACAGTCAATAGTGGGTAAAGTGGGTCGTACTCTACAAAAAACTCGAATGTTTCCTTTCAACTCCTGTAAAACACAAAGCAAAATAAACCAATTATATGAATTACTATAAGCATCAAATTTAGTTAAGAAACATACCAAAATGGTGTTATGTAGTTTCTTCCGTAGTTTTTCTCCTTCAACAAGTTGACATTCTAAATCAGTGACACGACTTTGCAGGCCATCAACCAACTTATTTTTAGCTTCATTTTCTTGTTTGATCTCAATCGTTGTCAAATCAGCCTTCTGTATAAATAAAAATTTTGAATGCAGTTTGAAGCAGTAAAAGTTATGCTAACAATAAACATTAAAACCAACAAAGACAATGAATACATAAAAAAAAATATCCGAAAGAGTTTTGTGGAATTCAAACCTTGAGCTTCTCAGTTGCAATTGTCAGCTGATAGTGCAAACTTTTTATTTGATCTTGTTGCAAAGAACAGGTCTCCTGGTCAAACAAAATAAGACATAAGAAAATATGAGAAAATAAATAAGTAAAAGAAAACTAAAATGCCCCAAAAAAAGTAAAAGGGGAAACCTCAAGTGCATGAGCCTTTGTTAGAGCAATATCTTTATCCCTACTAGACTTTCCGTTAACTTCTTCATATTTTTTAAGCTCCACATTCATGAGTTGAATGTGTTCTAGTTGGTGATCACGATCCACCCTGACTTGTTGCAATTCGCCTCTGAGACAATCTACTTCCTTCTTGTATTCCTCTCTCTGCTTAAGTGCTTCTTGTTGAGAGGACTAAAAAAGAAGCAAGGTAAGAAAGTAAACATCTCAAAAGACATTATTGAAATAACAAGTTTTGTTTTTAAAAAAAAACTTTAAAATGTATCATGAGCACAACAAAATAACAAATTTAAAATTTTATAAGCTATGTCAATTCATTATTAATAAGTTAATACAAAGTGCAGTACAAAGGAAACATTGAATCAATACCAACAACATTCATAGCATTAACATCAACAAACAATCTACAGTAGAGACTATGAAAGAAATTTTGAAAACCCTAAATAAGCTATACTAAGAAAAATGCAAGCATACTATAAAAACTATGGTAGAAGGATAAAATGCAAGCATACTAAAAATACTCATATTTGATTCGTTCATTAAGCTAACGAGCTGAACACAAACAATTGTTTAGCTCAATTTATAAACAAGCAGAAAATGAGCACATATTTGTCTGTATGTGTTCAGCTTGTTTCAACTAAAAATAATTAAATAATAATATTTATCTATATTAATTTTTATACTATATTTAAAAAGCTAATTTATTATTTTTAAATAACTATTTGGATGATACAATTATAAGAAGTATAATTTTATGAGTTAAATATGTAAATACATAGGTTTGGATGGTATGTATGTAAAAGTTGTTTAAAAATGCTAATTCCATGAGTCAAGTATGTGAATACATGAGATATGGATGGTATGCATGTAAATTTTCCTTAAAATTTGTAGCCACACACCTGCCCTTTTTATGTTTTCTTCGAAAATCGTGAGTCCATAACATTACATATATAACATATATAACATGTATAAATATATAAAAATGGGTGGAATGTATGTATATGCCTAAAAATATTTCTCATTTCAGTTCTCCCGCCTCATTACCCCCCCATGCCTAGCATTTTTAGTCCCACACCGATAGCACTAAAATTATCTTTGATGTTTACAAGTACAAAAAAAAAATGAAAAGTACAAAAAATTTGTGGAGCACAAGGTGTAAAATGCTTTGCATCGGCTTGATAAATAATTAATTAAATTTTTTGATTATTTAAGCTTAAATCCGAGTTAGCTTGTTAAATAATTAAACGAGCTAATTTGAACAAATGAGCTAATCTGAATGAACGAGCTTAGAATCAAGCCAAACATGAACAACTTATTTGTGATCTATTTCAAACACGAACAATTGAAAATTCAAACGAGTCAAGCACGAACAAGTATTCACCTCGCTCAAATTCGGCTCGTTTACACCACTAACTACGAATGCTAATTATAGATAATAAAAAAAAATCAAATGCATTGACCAAACAAAAAAATTTAAAATGACACTCATTCATGTTTAAATTTGTCAATCATTTTGTGAAAGATAAATGTTAAAAGTCCAAAAGAAAGGATTATAATTCTGAAGCACAACTACATACATCATTGCACAAAAGGAAATATAAATATTGATAATAATGGCATGATATTACAAAAATTATAGATGGATTAGAGGCAATAATACAATAAAGATGCAATTAATTTAAAAAAAACAAAACTAAACCAATAGCATCTAAAAGTGTTCATTTCTAAGCTATAAATGATGTAGTGCTTGCAAAATAAAAAAGAATCAAATAACATGACAAAAGAGCTCCTTTTCTCAGAATAAGCAGCAGTTTTATGATTTAAAATCAAATATCCTCACCCTAATGGCATCAAGTTGATTCTTAAGCAAGCTGGATTGATCCCTTAATCCAGCGAGAGTCTCCATCATCGCAGTCTTATCCTTTTGCAACTTTGTTACAGTATCGCCGTTCTTCATAGCTTCAGCCTGTAAGTTGTTGTTATACTGTTGAAGACTGGTATTATACTCTTGCAGCCGTTTGTTTGTCTCTTGAATCATTTTTATCTATTTTGCAACAATAAAGAAAATTTCATACTAGTTTCTCATATCCCATCCAGATCCACCAAAGCATATGGCATTACCTGATCATTAAGATACTTTATACCTTCAGTGGTTTTTTCAAGCTCTTCCAAGAGACCACAACGTAATTTTTCAGATGCAGCCTTTGCCTCAGCCTCTTTCTCATAAGATTCAATAGCAGCCTAAACAAAAAATTTTAAATAAATAAATAAATACAAGTTCAAAAAATATTAGATCACAATGAACATATAAAAAAAATAAGATTTTCCTTCCCAGCAAATATACCAATTTGTCAGCCTTTGCCTTCCTAAGACTCTCCTCCAGGGACACCACATGTTTCTGATGTTCCTCGATCAACAAATTTAGCTCATCAATCTTGCAATTCATTTGGGCCTCTAAACCAATAAAAATTGGCAAAATAAGACCAGCATGAGAGCAAAACTTCTCAAATATCGGTAAGTATATCAATACCATATGACAATAGTATTAACAAGTAATAATTTTACCAATGTCACAATGTCTTCTCTGCTCTGATTCCAACATGCCACGAAGCTTCTCCAACTCTGCCAGATATCCATCTTCGAGCTCCATGTACCAGTTGATACAGGTCCTGAACTTCTTGATGCTATCCCGCAGCTCCATAATCCTTCCCTGCAAATTCATACCAAATAGTGAAAAAAGGTGAGTCCTAAAACAATTTTTTTAAAATGAACCGCAAAACAAGCCAGATCAAGAGTAAAACGGCCGTAAAAAAGAGCTAATAACAGCAATCAATGAAAAAAAAAAAAGGAAAACGAAAAAAGTGAACCATAAAATAAGAAAGATAAAGTAAAACGAAATTATAAAAAGAGCTAAACCTTATCATTATTTCTATTCTTAGGATTTAGCTTTTCAGCTAGCAATTTCTCTACATCCTCTCTTGATTTAAACTCGAGTTGGCCTCCAGCGTTGTCTCCATTAGACCTTTCCGAAGCCGGCACAGTACCGCTACTCCCAGGTAGCGCATTTACTGCCGACAGAGGTGGACGAGAGCGCGTCCCCGCCATCGTCCCTCCTCCAATCTTCCGCCGCTTATCAAACTGTTCTTCATGCAAAAGCTCGTTCTTCTGCAAAATTATTCCAAGTTGCGCAAACCGCAAACTGATCAGAACCCAAATAGCAAAACCTACCCGGTTGAGATGGAGGCAGGGAAGAAACCTTACATTAGAAAGACTTTGTGAAACCTTGTTCCCCTGGATCGTGGGGGCTCTGTTCTGGTTCCTGGTATGCATCGTTTAAGGGCGGGGACAGACAAATACGGGGAGGGTTAGCCCGTTAGGATGGAGAACTTAGGGTTTCGATGGAGACAGAGGACGAACCGCGGAGTAGAAGTGGGAGCGCAGTTTCAAATTTTTTTGATTTTTCAAAAAGGTAGTATATAATTCCGAAAATACCCCCTCTAACATTCTCTTGCAGCCAATCAACTTTGTGTAAAAAGAAAAAAAAACATTTTACCCTAAACCGATCAGCAATATTTTTGCATCGATTTATATATTGTTGAATACTTTTTACATTTGTATTTTCTTTCTTGTACGTTAATGTAATACTAAAATTTTGAAAACGTAAAATATCACTTAAAAATTTATGATTAAAATTTGACAAAATTTAATCTATATATATATATATATATGTATA